TTTAAGAAATACAATATAAGACAAGCACAAGTTTCATTTGTGGGCCATATTTCATTATACCTTTTGAATTTGCTGAGGGCCGATCCAAAATGGTCCGCGGGCCACATTTGGTCCCCGTGCCATAGTTTGGACACCCCTGCTTCAAACTGATACAACCTGAAAACCCTTCCCTCACCTTTCCATGACATTATTTTTCATATATAACTTTTCAACTTCATGCAGCAATTGGACAGGTGTGTGAAGGTGAGGAGTAAAGCAGGATTTCAACTGTTCCCCAAAGCTATCATTTTCATTCTCAACACAACTACTCCCCTTGTTGTGCGAACAAATGAGTGCAACATCGTAAATGTCTTCAGGGAGCATAGTTATTCCCATTTGTACGATTTGTTGTACTGTACGTCACCTTTTACTTTCAGATGTGATCAACAACATGTCACCAAAAGTTTAATTCACGCATATCTCAACCTTTAGGCTACTAAAGCACTCTGAGGTTGAGGTTAGCAAAGGATTCTGGTTTTGGGTAAATATAAAAAAACTCAACATGTCCCAATGCTTTAAGTCAAACACTATTTCAATATTTTACCGTGACCATAATCTTTCTCTGGGATCAACCAAGTGCTTTGAGCTTCTTAAAGCTAACAATTAACTTGTGAATGACTTATTTCAAAGAGCATACATTGTGAGGGAAATAAATGAAATATTTCTTCAGATATGTTCAAGCACACGTTTCTTTTCATATGCTCTAGGTTTTATTTTATAATTCCTCTCCATTGTGCCCCTCCTGTCTCACTCATCTTTTCTCTGTATTCTCCACCCCATCTGAGTGTCTTTGTTTCCTGGATTTACCTCTCTGTCTTTGTCTGTTTTCTGCCTCTCGTTCCCTCTACTTGTGTTTTGTTCAACATTCATTCTTTACCTTTCCCTCCCTGCCTGGTTTCTAAACGCTTGGCAGGAGTTCTGCTGCAGTCTATGTTTGTTAGAGTGAATGAGTGTGCTTATGTTGTTGTGCATTCAGGCATATGAATAGGGGATGGATGTGGTTAAACAAACAGTGAGTTATGGTCATGTAGTTTTAGAATAAAAATTATGAAATTAAATGTTTCATTATTGATGTGTTGTGTAACTCCAGTGTCACTTTGAGTGCTCAGTTTCACACTGTTATATGGTTTGAATCTGTAGAAGTATTTCCTTCAGTCTAAGTTGACATCATTCATGTTTTATGTACAGACTAACAACTACAATTGTGTTCATTCTAAGTGTATTATGTTTACAAAGGGTGACGTACAACTACAGACTTTTGAATAACCATAATTCCACAATCTTAAAATCGCATTGATTCTGCTTTAGCCCATGAATTAAAAACAAGTATAGTCTGAGCCAGGTACCCATATCGTTCCAACTAAAACTATTAAAACCTTTGAAGTGATCTACTCAAAGGCAGCAGTATGTAATACAGAAATGAATGGTAAAGATAAACTGAAGGTAGACTATCTGATGAGTATCTAAAAAACATTAAATTAGTTTTATATTCTCCAAAGAAGGTGTTTGAGTTGCTCCTCAGCAGTTAGCCATTTGCCTGTTCATGGACACTTGTAGTCTAATCTGTTCACATAATGTATTACTGGAATCAATTTAGCGGCAGTGTGGTAGTGTCACTAAAAGTCACCGCAGGAAATCATGTATTGAAAGATTGGATCAAGAAATCAAGCGCTGTCAGCTAATCTGCCTCTGAGTGTGTGTTAGAACAGTAAAATGTGTATTTATAATGCATAGCCGTGATAAAGCCGCTGTGTAGCAGTTGCAGTCGGGGATAACGGGGTAGATGGCTGCCTGCTAATCTTTCTGCTTTAGTTAGTCTCATCCTCTCACTGTCTCATTACAAGAACACCCAGACACACACAAACACTCTTGCATTGCACAGCATGAATTCTCAGCTTACACACACACGTTCTTCTATTCTCCATTAATCTTTACAGAGAACATTTAGACTGCAGAGGGAAATAGTGTAACAGCCAGCCAGAGTTCCTCTTTTGAACAACTTCCAATATGCACTGCAAACTGATGCATCACCATTTTGGAGACAGTGACATCACTGAACAAGTGCCTAATTGTTTCCTCTTTTTTGCTAATCGTAAAACAATTAAAATCCATTTCTCATTTCCTTGCTTACGGAAAGCTGAAGAAAAACTAAAAAGCGCACATTCTGTTTTTGTTATTGGATTGAGTCACTTGCCAAACTGATTATCCCCCTGCAAGTGTGTTGAACAAAGCTCTGTGATAAATCGCTGAGGAGCTGTGACGAATGTTCTCATTTGAATTCAAGTGATGCTGACGGGAGATATTTTTGTAATGTCAAATGGATCTATTGGTTATCACAGGCTATGGTGATATACAGTACAGGTATACAATATAATAAAAGTACAATCGAATCCAAGCTGTCAGTCTGTGCGTCTATCTTCCTTTTACTTTCTCTGCAAGACAACATTCTTCTCTGCCAACGATTAGCTTTCTTTGGTTTGTAACCACGTTGAGAGTTTACTTTTTTAGCCCATACAGTAAGAGCTGTTTCTCTTCCCTAGCTGTAACCTCTTGTTTCAATACACTCACTTTAGCCTTAGACTGGCACGTTATGACCGTGTTCTCTACTATCCTTTAACAGTTGTGTTTTAAAGAACTACCAATACAGAACTTTACAGTTGTTTTTTTGTATCCACTGCAAAACGTTTTCACCATGGATGTTAAATGTTCTGTTTGTAATAAGGTGGTGGGTTGATTACGTTGCCTTTCTCGAGCTTTTAATAATATCATTAACTTTTATTGTCTGAGTATTTCCAAGGCTCCTCGTCCATATAGGCTTTCAAGTTTTGAGTTTAAAAGATCTCGTTTAACTTTGGAAACAGGAGACTCTATCTGCTAATGAAGATCATGTGATAAGGTGATAAGTAAGTTAAGGCAAAAGTGCTAGAGCAGATAACAAGTGGACAAATCTGATACTATTGTTTTGTCAACTGCTGTTTCAATTTGCCCTGTGCAGATTCTTGCACAGCGCAAGAGGAGGAGATCAATACAACTTTGAATATGAAGCTACAACGAGCAGCTGATTAGCTTAGCTTAGCATTAAGAATGGAAGCAGAGTGAAATAACTAGAAACTACAACATATAACTATTAATAATCAGGGGGCTTTAAAGATGGAGTTAGCTGTTCTTCCACACTTTATGCTAAGCTAACTGTCTCAGACAGATCTGAGAGTGCTAATGACCTTCTCCTCTAGCAATAGCTATAAAGGATAGGCTAAGAGTGTTTACCAAAATGTTGAAATATGACTATGACGAAGGCACCCTACCATGGCTAGTCTGCAGCGCCCTAAAAACTAAAATATTCAACTTTTAGCCCTGAGGCAGGAGGTACAGTCACATTTTTAGGTTCATGTCGCAGCACCTGTCAGTCATCCTGAGTGATTTGATACGACACTGAAAAGACCAAAATCTTGTGTCAGCCAAAAAACTAAAATCTACTCTTGAGCTGAGATGTTGCTGCCCTTGGAAGAGATGTTGTCTCTAAGAGTTCCTCCCGTACTTTAATGGCTATTGCCTTATAGCTGCTCTCCAACCCAGTCTCATGGCATTTCGTGTTCACCAACACGATTTTTAATCTATTGATTCGTGTTCACCAACACGATTTTCCCCTTTTTTTCGTGTTGCACAGCACGATTTTAAAAGCAATGTATTTCTACTGGTAATGACGCTGATGGAAGCACGGCATTCGTTTGTGTCGGCTGCCCTTAAAGGCAATGTGAGCGTCCATTCTCATTGGATAACGGAGAATTGTACACCCGGAAGTAAGTATTCCCCTTACTGTCGATTGATTTTACAGTGATATCTGCACTACTCATCGACTAAAAAACACCAGATTATCCTTGTTAATTACACAACATTGATTGGTTTAAATTGTGTGCAATGCTTTTGTATTTTTCCCCTTCGATTTCGGAGAAACAAATATGTTTTCGGAGTAAAGGATATCAGAAGACACTACACTACCCAGAATCCCCAGCTATCGTTTGGACTACACCATGTGCTCTGTTTGACAAACCCCGTGATAGTCCTCAAGCTCTGTGATTGGAGAGTGTGCTCCGAGGGTTACGCCGAGCCTCGAACAGCACTTGAAATGGGATGGAACCACGGCAGACTGTCCAAAACTGGATTTGAACGGGTCCACCGCGTCCCCCCCTCCCCCACCCCGTCCCCAGAACTACACATGCTGGCTATTCTGTTTCGCAACATGTTCTTTATCTATGGCACGTCTCTACTGGGAGTTGTAGTTTTGAAAGACGTTTTCGTATTTCCCATAATAAGAAGTTGCCAGTATTGAACTGTGTACATCCCTGGAGGTTTAGGGGGTAGGAAACACTCACATTTAAAACATTTAATTAATAAATGGGTGAAAATTGCTTGTGCCCATAATCGGCAGCATTGATATATATACCAGTGGCGAGCCGTCAGGGCCCTCTAGGCCCTCTGTGAGGGCCTAAGATATTCTAAAAAATAATATTTGAAAACATTTTTTTTTTAAAACATTTTTTTTTTTAATATTATTTTTAATATTTTTTTGTTGTTACATTTTTCATTAATTTTACCAAAATAACTTGATTCAATTGTATTTAAAATAATATTTCCAAAGAAATAAATCCTTCGAATCTGCCTGTTCAGTTTCTGTTGGAATGTGAAGGGTTAAATGCCGTCTCTGCGAGTTACTGCGAAGACGAGAGGGCTTGTTGGTCCCTCTCTACATTCACAGAGGGCCCAGCTATAGTAACTCAACGAGAGAGTAATGTCAAATGACAGTACAATTGACCAATCATATCTTCCCTCTAAATGGGCGGGCTTTATTTTCGCGGACTTTATGACAAGTTCCGCCCGCTGTGAGGTCTATGCAAGTGGTTCAGTGACGCGTCCTAAAACCCAGAAGTAAACTGCGCTCGGATTCCCTCGACAGAAAGCAGTGCGATTTCTCCATAAGATTTTGGAAAATAGCTCGAAATAAGGTCTGTGGAAAACGAACCTGTTAGATAGATGCACGTTGTGTTCAGCCGGATAATATCCACATGTCTATCCTACTTTTATTATTTTTGAATCATAAATCTAATCGATAGATTTATGATCGATAGATTTATGATTAGCAGTTCGTTCATGATGGCTCACTTCAGTGATAGTGATGACATCGTTGCGAAATTATTAACCGAGTCATTTTCAAGATTGAGTTACAATGATAAACTGGAGTGGCAAAGGATCAGCTGAATGACCCGCAAGTGCTTCATCCAAAAGGACAGGAGGATGGACTTTGTGTTTAAGTGATTTGATCATCAAAGGTAGGCCTAAGTCATTTTCAATGCGGGCCGCCGTGCCGACTTAATTCATTTGTAATTGGTACTTGGCTGTGGGTGCCCTGTCATGATAGGTGTTTATATAAATGATGTTGTTTTGTGTGGTAGAGGGTCGCTGTCATTGATGCGTTTTGCACCCCAGACCACTGTTTTGATATTCCGCTGAAGTCTACGTTGAGACGTAATATCTCTTCTTTTTTTTCGAGGGAAGGGGGCCTAGGTATAAAAAAAGTCACGGCTCGCCACTGATATATACACACATGCCAGCTAAGGTCAGAAGAGCTTTATTTAACAGCTGGTCTTATGTTTGTGACCCCTGTTGTTAATTGATAACATTACATTACATTAATTGATAAGCCTGAAACATGCACTTGTCAAGGTTCAGAGGCACATTTTGCAAATATGGCAGTAGCCATCGATCAGCTTAAGATAAGATATACTTTATTGATCCCAAGTTGGAACATTTGCGTTACATCAGCATGTGTAACAGTTAAATATGCAGTGGTGTTTATTTGTAAATCATTTAGTATAATCACACAAATTATGTGTTTTATATTTAACAATTCTGTGTTCTTTATTTATTGATTGTTCAATACCTGACAAGGTCGGAGATGAAATATCTACATACATCTTATAAGAGTATAATACATTATGTATAATATCAGTTAAAATAAGTGCTTCAACATAGTTAACATTGCTGGAGGTATGCACAAATATTGATAGATGTCTTGTAATGCACTATTGAGGAACCTGCGACCCAAGTTTTTCATTCAATGCAGAACTACACCATAGTTGTGTAGGCCTATATGATATGTCAATAAACCTTAGAAAATCTTGAAATCTTGAAAGGGATGTGCAAAATAGTCATTATATACAGTCTTTAATTAACTATTAGTAGAGAATAACGAGTAATGAATATACTTTATAGGGATCCTATTCATATCTAATAATAAAAATAATGAAATTCAATAACCTGCTTTAACCACTAGGTGTCCCTTTATATCGGCTGTGCACCTTTATGGTGTAAATTAAATACAGCCTATCTACCAATTGGATCAAATATAAAAGTCAGCCGAATTAGTGTTGATACTGCAAGGAGACGTATTGTGTGAAAAGAAATGTAAGATGTTGTTTAATGGCTGATATATTTATGATCCACGTCACGTTTTCAGTTCCTCATGTTTGTCTAGAAGTCTTCTCATCAGGGCTATATAAATACAGAACTACGGCAGATATGTAATATTTAATGCAGCCGAACCGTGTATTACAATGCCGTTATGTGATGACTTCCAAAGAGAAAAGCAAGCACACTCGGAATAAAGTATTTTATTTTTAAAAAATGTTTTCGGTCTGTTTCCGGTATTTGTTAATGACGATGTGCTGTGAGATGTGAGACTGGAATTGCACAGGGGAAAATAACGTAGGCTATCTTTAGATGCGGATTTTGTAATAATATGTTTGCGCTGTGGACCAACACTATACATTGACGGGGAAGGGGGTAGCAATAAAGATAACACCATTAAACAGTTACACAACATAACAGAAATAATATCGATAGCAGCGTCCCTAGCAACCACCTTGGTAACAATGAAAACTTCCTGAAGTAATCTTTGTAATAACTAGCAAACTAAAGATCATGTACATCCACTGCACACATAATCTGAAATAACAACTCATATTTCTCGCATCAAATGACATCAAAACGCATTTTAATGGCCAAACTAACTTTAAAATAGGCATTTTCCACCGAGAATAAAACGAAGTTCGGCCATGTTTTTTTTTTCTGCAGGGAGACATTTGAAGATCACGTGACATAGACGCCAGCCATTGGAATGAATGGCGTAACCCTCGGAGCACACTCTCCAATCACAGAGCTTGAGGACTATCACGGGGTTTGTCAAACAGAGCACATGGTGTAGTCCAAACGATAGCTGGGGATTCTGGGTAGTGTAGTGTCTTCTGCCAACCTTTACTCCGAAAAAATATTTGTTTCTCCGAATCGAAGGGGAAAAATACAAAAGCATTGCACACAATTTAAACCAATCAATGTTGTGTAATTAACAAGGATAATCTGGTGTTTTTTAGTCGATGAGTAGTGCAGATATCACTGTAAAATCAATCGACAGTAAGGGGAATACTTACTTCCGGGTGTACAATTCTCCGTTATCCAATGAGAATGGACGCTCACATTGCCTTTAAGGGCAGCCGACACAAACGAATGCCGTGCTTCCATGAGCGTCATTAACAGTAGAAATACATTGCTTTTAAAATCGTGCTGTGCAACACGAAAAAAAGGGGAAAATCGTGTTGGTGAACACGAAATGCCATGAGACTGGGTTGTGCTCTCACATGGTACGTTTTAAAAGGGAGTGCATGTGGGTTATTCAACAAACTATTTTCATTAGATACTGTATCATGCATATTGATTTTTTGCCTCTCCATTCTTACAGGAAACAAATCTTCCCCTCACTGTTGCCTCGAAATGTAGCCTCAAGATAACACATGCAGACACATGTAGCTCGCTCATAGCCTGCAGGCTCCCTGCTCTGGTTGTCACTGAGTGTGTGGTGTTTGTTTGGATACTTAGACTACTCACAGATTTCAGTTTTAGGATGATAGGTAGAAGTTCATCTCCTGCATACATCTTCGTTCTTGTCTGTCGGTTTGCCACCCAGCAGCTCCCCATTTTTCTCTCTTTTCCTCACCATCTTTCTGCATTCATTTAAATGATATCCCTCTACCGACACAAGTGTGGAGATCTCTCTTCCTCTTTCCCCCCCACCTCTCTCTGCTGTAGGACAGATAATTAATCTCAGATGGAACTCTGAGCCGTTCTCCATGTTTACATCCCCTGTGTGTGTTTGTGTGCGCCTCCTAGGTGTGTGTGTGTGTGTGTGTGTGTGTGTGTGTGTGTGTGTGTGTGTGTGTGTGAGAGAGAGTGTGGCTCCATCTCCATATATTTGTATGCATGTGTGTGTGTGTACAAATGTGTGTGAGTGTGTGTTACTTGCTAATTTGATTAACGGGTGTAAACAGTTAAGCTAACGGTAATGACTACCAAGCAGTCTGCTGCTGTAGCCAGTGGGCTTCATACTGATTACTATCATCATGAAGATAAACCCATGGAGCAGGGAGTGCATGTGTGTGTTTGTGTGTCTCTGTGTTTTGTGCACAGTTAGCCAGTAAGAAATGTGTGTTTGTGTTTAGTCTAAATGTGTGTGGGAATGTGTGCACATACTGTTTATCTTTATTTGTGTGTTGGACCAATGCTTGAAGCCTTTAAGCGTGTTTTAGTGTGAGAACTACAGCAGGGAAAGATAATCTGCCAAATGGCCACCACTGCTGCCTGTATTGAAACAAACAGTGAACATGTTGTCCATCACAATGTTGCAGATGGACATACCTCTAAATGTGGACTGCTGTCAGGAAGAGACAATGTCTTCTCCCACCTTAGTACGTTTAACTAATGGGTCTTATCGAAGTTAATTCCTTTGTATAAAGCAGTCAAAATAATGTTTTTTTACCTTGACATCCAAAAAGCATTTCCAATCAGATACCACTTGGCGGGATTAAGGCCTTTCCCTATCTGACACCTCTGGTTGTAATGTTTGGTTATGATTAAGCAATTGGTTAAGGTTAGGGAAAGATCTTGAACGTGGTTAAATGTGACCACAGTTGTCAAAAGTAAATATTTAACTGCCTCAAGGAAATGTAAAGGTCCTTTTTTAATGTTGTTATGTGTTGTAATGTAAGCAATGCAACAAGAGAAAGGTTCAGTGACAGTGGACTAGTCTGTTGCATCCTCTCTATATCTTCTGTTGGAAGTGTGGTCAGAGCGTTACCTCAGGCTTTGAAACTGTCCTTAATGAGGAGATCAAATTCACTTCAATTAAATGCAATAATATGTAACTGAGTTCTAACTGTTGCAGAAGGGTCTGCATCAATAACCTACTTCTAGAGTTTAATCTGTAGTGGAGTGGTATTCTGATATGTTTCACAATATGCTCCTCTGTTCCCCTCACGGCTCTCTGCTCAGCGTTTAGGTTCACACCACTCACACACACTAACACACACTTCATGCACACACACAGGCATGAAAGCTCACAAGCAGAGACGCTAATAATCAGAGAACACACACACAAACATGCCAGCGCTCACACAGCGGCAGAATGCAACTGGGAGGCTGCTCCCTTGCCTTGCCTGGAGAGGGAGAAGCTTATTATGGAGCCTTATTGAAGGCTTCAAAGAGTTTAAATTAGGGTGGAGAGGAGGGATTAGGAGACGAGCTAGAGAAAGAGGAGGGGAGAGGCAGTGGAAGGGTGGGTAAGTGAGAAGAAAGGAGGTGGATAGTGAGAGGGAGGAAGTGGGAGAAGAAAAGAGGCACAAATAGAAAGAAAAGATAAGATGTGTGGAAGAGGATGTGGGGAACCTGGAGAGGGGAGGGATGGAGAGGGCACGGGGAGGAGAGAGACAAATGGGAGGAGGTGAGTCAAAGAGTTTGCTGGCTCATGCTGATCTTACACTAGACGATGTTTGAAGTGATTTTAGAGTTTATTTCCAAGAGGGAGTCACAATGCTCGCTACGAGTAAACTCAGTCACAGCAGTCTTAACAGTCTGTTCTCACAAATCAAACACATGACACTGTAGGAAATGTGTTGCT